TTACTCCTCATTGAGAGTCGTTGGTTATACTTGCTTTGTTCTTCGTCCTGAAGTCGAACGTAGTAAATTGACATCTCGCTTTGCTATCTGTGTTTTCTTAGGTTATGGGCAAGGACAAAAGGGATATCGTTGTTTCGATCCCATTAATAACAAATTATATGTTTCTCGTCATGTTGTGTTTCTTGAGTATATTCCATTCTTCTCTATATCTGATAATACTCATGATATAACTAAAACTGATCTCATTTATATTGATCCATTCTCTGATGATATAACAGTCCACCTCCCCATACCTCATATACTATTGATTCTTCATGTCTTGAAAGTACACATCCTCCAGCTCATGATATCCCTCCATGGCTTCCCAAGCACCGTTTGAGGTTGTAGTTCCTGCTCTATCTCTTCCTTGATATCCTCAACATATTCTTAAGTCAACTCAGTTACCTGATTTTGCTTATTCTTGTTATTCTAAGTCATTTTGCTGCTTTTTAACCTCCATTCTCAAGTTATCTAACCTTTTTTTTTTTTTTTAATAAAGAAGCTATTCTGGATCCTTTTTGGTAATAGGTTATGGCTAATGAACTCTTTGCTCTGCATAAGATAGATACTTGGGACTTGGTTGCATTGCCTTCAAGTAAACATGCTATCGGTTCTTGTTGGATTTATAAGATTAAAACCAAATTTGACGAATCAATTGAGCGCTACAAGGGTAGATTGGTTGCTAAAGATTTTAATCAACAGTGATCATGAGGAGACTTTTCCTCCTGTTGCCAAGATGATCACTGTTCGTACACTTATTTTAGTTGCTTCTAATTGTCAGTGGAGTCTCTCTCAATTGGATGTCAAAATGAATTTTTTAATGAAAATATTCAAGAGGAGGTTTACATGGTTCCTCCTCTTGGTCTTTCTCACTCTCCTGAATTTGTTTGCAAATTCAAGAAGACACTTTATGGCCTCAAATAAGCATCCCGTGCTTGGTTTGATAAATTTTTCACTTTGTTACTTCTCTTGGTTTTACATATAGTCATTATGACTCCACTCTATTCTTTAAATGTACTTCTGATGGTCGTATTCTATTATTGCTATATGTTGACGATGTGATTATTATTGATGATGATGTTGAAGAAATTGCAAGTTTGAAATCAGAATTGGCTCGTCGTTTTGAAATGAGGGACTTGGGCACATTCTTTTATTTTATGGAAATCGAAGTTGCTCCTTCTCCTAGAGGTTATCTTCTCTCCCAATCCAAGTATACTATGGATGTTATTGAGCGTTCTCGTCTTATTGTTACTAAAACTTCTGATAATCCTCTTGAATCCAACACTTGATATTCATCCTCTAACGGTGAACCATTGCCTGATCTCACTTTGTATCACATTATTATTGGATGTCTAGTTTATATTACCATCACACGTCCAGATATTGCTTATGTTGTTCACATTGTTAGTCAGTTTGTTTCAACTCCTACTACAGTTCATTGGGCAGCAGTTGTTCTTATTTTATGTTATCTTCGTGGTACATGCTTTCAAAGTCTTTTGTTTCCATTGACATCATCCTTAGTGCTCCATGCCTACTTTGATACTGATTGGGCCAGTGATCCCATTGATCTCAAGTTCACTACTGATTTTTGTATATTTTTGGGTGATTCTCTTATCTCTTGGAGAAGTAAGAAGCACTCTGTTGTTTCCTATTTCTCTATTTAATATTTAGTTTCCTTATTTCTTAGACTTCCTTATTAGTTTAGGTTTCCTTGTAATATATAAACTATTTTAGTTCATTGTAAACCCTAATTTTTCGTTGCTTAGTAGATTATTGTTTCTCTTCTTATTTTCTTCTCTTCTCTTCGAATTAATTTACAATATTGGTTCAAGATAATTTATGTTGTTAACATGAACGACATAGAAGAAATGAAGTTTAAGAGACTTGTTGTGGAAGGCCACAACCAGTAAAGTTGAGGTTGTAACTCATAAGTGTCTATACCGTAAAATAAATTTTCGACGGAACCAAAAAAAAAAAAAAACATATATGTTAGAACGATAACCATAAAATATGATTTTATTCGAAATGCATACATTTGTCACATAGGCTATGGGAATGGAGAGAAGAGATATATTTTACTCAAGAAATTGTCTCGCCAATTCTCATTTGGAATGTTCAATTTATTATTGCAATAACAAGGAAATGGAAAATTCATCAAATTCATGTGAAGCCAACATTTCAGACGTAGAAGAAAAAATTATGTGGTAGATCCTAGTTGAAGGTCAGTGCTTCAAAGTCTTTTTTTATATTATTTTGTCGGGTGTGGGGGTGGCGGGGATTGAGTTGGGGGTTGAAAATTTAGCTAGACTAGGACTCAATAGAGTCATCAATGTTGGTACACAATAATTATTTACCTTTGAATATAATTGAAGGTTCATGAATTTAGGACTCATGCACAAACGTTAAAATGCACCTACTTCAAATATATAGGAGTCTAAGAAAAATGTAGGAAAAAGAGTGAAAAAATTGCAAGAAGAAATTGTAAACAAACAACTAAGTAAAGAAATAAAATTTTCGAATCTTTTTCTCTAGTAAATTCTAAGAGTTTGAATGCTTGATTTTTATTGTGAGTTCCTAACGCTTCTAACACGCACTTCTTATAAATAAGAATTTCTTTAGGATTTGTCAAGAAGAGCCTCAAATAATCATCATTCGTTCCTTTAATTTATCATCTATGGTACCATATTTAATTGTTGACATATATCTCCATTTTTTTTATCCTACCTATTCAAGCATATTTTACAACTCTATCTCGACGTTTTTACTTTTTCTATGTTTATCTCATGGGCTTAAATTCTATCAATATATATAAACCAACACCCAGCACTATAAAGTATAACTAGCCAAATTTCATTTGAATAATTGAATTAGACAAATGAATTATGACACTTACATAACTGATAAGAAAGTATGTATAGGGTGAGACCACAAAGAATCCTTAAGTCTTATTCTCCAGATAATCCAATATTATCTCACAAATTGAGATAATTCAAAGAAGAGGAAAATAAAGAGGTCGGATCGTACTCCCTACAAGATGCGGATTCAAGCCAATTATGTTATTAATTAGTGGGACAAATAGACAAATTCCTAAACAAAGACATCCTATTCTATGTGGGATTGTACAAACAATTCGTATTATACGAAAAATAATACAGTCATTGCATAACAATATGAATTTGACATGTTGCATATTCTGAAAGTTGGTGAAACATAAACGCAAATAATACAAATCTTTTATGTTAACAGATCTTTCAGGGATGCATGAACGCTTTTAAACCTCGAATCTGATTACCTTAGATCTTTGGATTAAATCAACTACAAAGTTTTGAAGTAATAATATTTTTTTACTTATAATAGATCTAATTCATCTCATTCAAACTCAGTAAGGATGTCCTCACACAAATGTTAAGCAAGAATCTGCTGTTCTTAAAAATCTTTTGACTAATAAGCTATAAACTTCCTCCTTTTTGCAACAGAAAAACAAAAAAAATTTCTGGTGCTGTAGATCTCAACCTTTTATGGACAAAACTATGACTAAGGTAAGGGGAAAAAAAAAGAAGGAAGAAGAAGAAGAAACAATGCGTGCCATTGTTTAAGATAATCATGTGGAACCCCATAAACATTAATTTTTTTTAACATGTAAAATTGAAAAGCATTGTGACAAAAGCGAATAATTGTGATGTCCCACAAAATCTGATGCACACTGGAAGCAATCTAGAAAGTTTGGAAAGCACAAATTCAAAATTTTAATGTAAATTTCTAAAATGTCCTCACAAAGATCTTATGCACTAAAATTATTGCAATTAGTGGGGGACTGATGTTAATGTGTTTTTATATAGCAGAAATGAAATTAATTAAATAAGCATTCATTTTTTTCGTACATCTAAGAGACTTTTATAAGGGAAAAGCCCCCTGTCGAGGGCAGGATAGAGTTGCGCCCCCCATAGGTGGCCCTGAACGTCAAGCAAGCCCCCTTTTAAAATGATTAGAGGATTAAATATTGTTGACAATGTTGTAGTTGTTAAAAAAGTGTTAGTGGAAAAGATGAATTATTTTTAAAACTGTCAAATAACAGCATGCCTCATGGCATGTTGTCAAAATCATTGTACACTAATATATACACACACTTAAATACATGCAAATGTCTCCTACCTTAAACTCAAATGACAATCTACGGGAGATCTTGCATAATAAGAATGTTTCTCGTTCATATTAAATAAAATAAAATGACAGTCTTCGTGGGGGCGAAAAATCTTTCAAGAATCACAAAAGATGACCCATAAAAATGGAAGTTGATATGCAATTGAGTACTAAATTGGGATCGTCTTACAGCAGACAGTTGTTCCATGATGGAAAACTTGAAAAGAAAAAAGGCGGATAAGATTCTACCTGATGTAAGAGGAAAAAACCGTCGTTTTCTTGGGGGTAAAGATCGTACTGTTTATCATACTTGAACAATAACTTATAAAAATATATTCTAAGAATAAATTTTCGATCACATTATGTTAGATTAGTAGTGTATGTAAAAAATTGGAAAAAGGACACTGCAGATTTAATGTTTTTGTGTGTCATATACTACTTCTAGGGTTCATAATTCCATCAACTTATGAAGGAATACGGTGATGGTAGGTTGATACATAGCCAACGTACGTAAAAGTATTGTCACATTTATGTCATAAATCCTAGTATATTTTATTCCGGGGCGAATCAGAATAGAGTGACCAAAAGGAATTTATATAACCGACTTATTTACCTTAGATTGTATTTTCTTCTAGGGTTTATACTGAATAGGAAATATTTATCAACAACAACAATGTGCACATGTGATCACCAATATATGATTCTCCAATGTGACTCTGATCCAATTGAAATTTGAATTCGGCAAGAAGAAAAATGATGTCCAAGTAATTCAAGCAGTACTATATAAACATGAATGTACTATGAAGTAAGAAATTAATTACCAATTTTTGATCCATAGATTGAATCAAGAAAATGGCATGGAAGAAGTGGAATCATCATCTGGCTTGCCTGGGCTAGCCTTCTTCTTCTTCTTGTATGGGATTCCTCTTGCCTTAGCTTGACACTCCTTTACTTCCCTCAGATAAACCCTTATTGCACCACTAGCAAATGGATTAGTCGCCTGTGATCCACCGTTTTCCTCATAGGCGGCGCGTAGCCTGCCAATAAGTGCATCGAGGCTACCCCAAGCCTGCCTCAGTGGGCAAGCACACGGCGCCGGTGGTTCCGGTTGCCCATAAAAGATGCAGCCCTGCAAATGAACTTTAGTCTTGCCAAACTGATCAAGATATCTAAGAAATTCAAGAACATGGTTGCTATTGCAATGAGAGAGTGGAACTGGTGGCCTCTGGTTCTTCAAGAACTGCCCAAAGGTGTTCCAATCCCTTCGTTTTTGAGACTCATAGCGGCTCGGAGTGGTGGGAATAGGTGGATCACCACCCGCTCCGCCACCGGGGGATATTGATGACCCATCTGCCAAGCCTTTCCCTCTCTCCATAGTTAATCATATACTATAAATTTTTCTGCCTTTGTTCCTATATAAGGTGAAACCTGCAGGTGATGGTTAAAGGAATAGTATGGCGAAAAATGGGTTGGGGCTGGGGTAGGAGAGATGAATTTTACATCAGAACCCTATTGAGTTGACATGCAATGGGCCATAACGAGTTTCTTTCTTAGTATTTTTTGCTCTTTTCTTGTTTGTGCCACTAACCATGCGTTTAATCAATAAGTTACAATTATTGAGCAGGGTTCCTTAATTATCTCCCCCACTAAATGTACAATACTTACCAAAAGAAAACATTATTACACACTTGTCCAAATATATTCTTCTTTAGTATCTTTCGATCAATAATTGCCAATATTCGCTTAGTCGTAAGACATAGCATTCTTCGCAAGCCATAAATAAGTTGATATGTTGTAAATAATTATTTTAGTTTTTCGCTGTGAATATTAGAGTTATTTTGAAGAATTTCTTATTCATAAGAGTGATGCGAATAGAAGAGTGAATGCAGAGACCAACCTTCAAATTCTGTAATTAAGACTTAATTTTTTGTTGTTAAACATGCGTCGTCTTCGTTTGAGAATTGTTTTCGCAACGTTATTCCAAATTTATTTCTTTAAGGAAAAAAAAAAAAGTCATTAAGCTATAAGTTTAACATAACCCTAAGCAGCTATATTTCTTGGCATAAATCAAATGAATGCGAGATGAAAATAATAATAATCTGAATTGTTCAAACGTATAAAAACTATGATCCACAAAGAATTCGTGAAAGAATTTTGTGAACACTAAAAATAGCAGGAGTTATTCTATATTCAGTAATCATCATTATCAGTTACCGTTTAAAGTGCGAGTTTCTCTGCAATAAAACTAAAGAAATATGTCTAACAGTAGGGATAACACCAAGCTATAAATATATATCTGACATATATTATTTATCTTGAGTTGCAGTTTTATTGCAAGCTCGGGTAATGAAGTAGCTCATGAGCTAGCTGCCTTTGCCAACTACTAGAGAAGTGGTCTCATGTTTTGATTCGTCCATGGCGACATAAATTAATGAGATTTCAGTTTTTGTGTTAGATATGCACACATTTGATATTTCCCGTTGCTTTTCTTCATGGCAGTCATTTTCAGATGGAACTGGAATATTGTTTATAGTACCTCGGATATTATGGGATCTGAGAAATGTACACATTTGATATCACCTATTGCTTTTCTTCATGGCAGTCATTTTCAGATGGAACTGGAATATTGTTTCTAGTACCTTGAATATCATGGGATCTGATAAAGTTTGACATACAATTGGGAGCAGTATGTCTTCAGATTTGTAATCCTCATGTAGGATTTTTAGAAGCAGGATTTGATATTTGGATCGTGGATATGATGATATTTAGGTATTTGCTATTCACTCAAAAATGAATATTTCTACTTATGGCATGGATGATGCAAGGGCAGGTATTTGCTATTCACTCAACAATGAATATTTCTACTTATGGTATGGATGATGCAAGGGCAGTTAAAGGATTTGAAAGTAAGATCTGTCTTTAAGACTTGTGGTTGAACAACCGAATCTCAAGAACCAGTGGACTTTAAGCAAAAAGATGTTTAAAAGTAAATTTATTAAATCAGTGGACTTGAAGCTAAAAGATGTTTAAAAGTGAATTTATTAACAATTCTAAATGCATTAATAATTCAGATGTTGTAGTTTCAATTATGAAATATGGCCGATTAATTTGAATTTGAACACTAAAGAAAACATTTTTTTTTATATTTTTTTTAAATGAAAGAATAATCATATCTAGTATCAATTATGTGATGTGTTCAATTAAAAGTGGAGATATGTAATTCATTAAATTGCACATTTCAGTTAATAACACATATCGCAACTCAATAATGCTATATAGCATCACTCTTTATGAAATGGACTTTACAAATATAATTAAGCTATTTGTATATTAACTTTGACATTCTTGCTGACAGATGGATGATGTGATAAAATTGTGATGGTTGAATTAAATGTGTAAAATGATGTGAGACTGTGTTTGATTCACATTCTTTTCAAAATACATTTTTCACTCTTTTCTTTTCAATCACACATTATTCATTAAAATAATATTGCACGTAAATCAAGGAATTTTTCTTATTTTTTCAACCACACATTTTCCATCAATCTACCATTTTAAAATACATTTTTTCATAAAAAATGATACTCAAACAGCCTCTATATCAAGTGTAAATTCGGTAAGTCATGATGTAAACTATGATGTATATGTAAAAAGATTGTTATGAATATGGAAAACACTCTGCAGTACCCCACCAATATAATATTATATTCACTAAATGGGATTGCTTACACCGCTAAATATATATAGACGGCTGTATCTAGATCCATCTTTCTTATTACACATTCTCACTTGTATCTATTTCACATTACTCTCTCACCCTGCTTTCTCTCAAGTCTTTTTCAAATTCAAAATGCAGAGCTGGAACCCATATTTATAATCGGACATGTCGGTGGAAGAGAGTTTTAGAAAATTTTGGATAGTTTCATGAATTAATTATAAAAAATTCTCTTGGAAGGCTGTAGAATAATTATGATAGCATACCAAGAAAATTACCAGATCTTCTTACAATAATTGCTTGTGGATTAGGGAATTTCAGAAATCTGGAACCTTCAACATGAGGTGGTGATGATTTTTCATTAATTAGGTATTTTTGCAGAGAAAATAAAGCGGACGTAGGTGGGGATTGGACTTTACCTCCAAAACAGTCAACTTATAAAGAATTACAGAATAAAAATGGATATTAAATTTGTTTCTTTGAGTCATATTTCGTGTGGTTCACTAAGTTAGATATTTGATAGAACGATTATGTGATTAATTAATTAATTAAACTATCGGGTTAGCTTGAATCGGATGTCGATTGTTCTTTCACTACACTGTTACTTGCTATTATTGGCAAAGAATTAGCCTGGGGTATACGCAAAGTTGATGGAATTGACAGCTGACCAATCCCAAGGTCCCACACTATGGTTTTGACCCCCGTCTTCTTCTTTCTTCCTTTTTTTTTTTTAATCAATTTTAGACATTCTTTTATTCCATTTTAGATTGAGCACTTTTTTATTTTTGATATTTTGGAAGTAACTTTTTCTTGCTCTTTTTTTTTTTCAAAAAAATCATTTTTACGTTATCCATAACTTTTTCTTATTTTTAGCGGCACTTTAAAAAACGCTTTTCAAAGAATTACTTCTTTAAAAAATTCAAAATTGAAGAAACACTTAGTTTAAATTACAAAATTCTAAAAAAATATCAAATTTTATTTTATGTGCATGTTGAGTTTATTTCAAGAGGTAGATCTATCATAGTTTCGATTTTTTCAATGTAAAAAATGAAATGTTTAGACCATGCCTGGTGGCCTTTATTTAAAAAAAAAATATGTTTTGAATATTTTTTTTTTAAATCTGTAGTTTAAATGTAGTAAAAAAATTTGAATTTACATGTAAAATATTTTATTATGTGAATGTTTGGTTAAAAATGAGTATGAAAAGTGAATTAAAGCAACATAAAGAGAATCAAACATAGGCTTAATGGTTACATCAAGTTATATAATAAAAAATATATTTTCCTTTTTCCCTCTTGACAACAAGCACTGTGGTTAAAATCTGTGATTCTCATAGATTTAAAAATGAGAATGAAAAATATAGTCGTTACGAGACCTATATAAGAGATAGAAAGTTAAATATGGTGGCTTGATATGATGAATAATGATAATATTTTTCATTTTTGTAGTCAAAGAATTGGGATCAAACGGGAGCTTAGTAAAATAGTTGATAATAAGAATCAGGAGGTGCAACTTTAATATTCATTTCAGTTAACTCAATGTCTTGAAAAATAATACAGGATTCGAAAAAGATAACCAAGAAAAAGAAGATGGAGAACTCCTATTGTTATCAGGGCATCAAGTCAATATATGTATATAGAGAACGTTGAAGAGGAGTATTATTATGTACATTACATAGTGACTTGCTTGAAGAGGTCATAGGAAATTTTATCCATAGTTACCTAATGTCCTAAGTGATGGTCTAAATTGGATGGGACTTATAGGGTTCTATTAGATTAAAAGAGCTTTAGTTAAATACATATATCTTAAGAATAGGATGATTTATCCTTTTCTTGATGGAGATTGTCTTACTCATAGAACTTAACTCACCATGTCGTAATTTTACTAAGAAAGAAGCTTTAATATCTCAAGATTTGGTCTACATTTTGTCACGATCTCACTAAGTCTCATTGCTTGGAATCTCTATCATTCTTGCTAGGTCTTATGGCAGGGATGGATTAAAACATATGCATGAGATAGTCGAATGTGAAGAAGGTTTCAAATGAATGAATATGCTAAGTTTTGATATATATATATATATATATACATACATATATATACATATACATATATATATATATATATATATATATTAATAACCAAATTATTGTCAAAGAAACACAATCCAATTATTATTGCGTGCACATGTAAAAATGAATGACTAAAGGTGAACAATGCTGATAATTAGTTTGGGAATAATATGTTTTTTCAAATTTTTATGTTGAATTATAATTCCTAATATGTACAAAAGTAAGCAAATTTCCGCCAGACTATTCCAATTAGCATTTAGTCTTGTTTGGTCCCATTATTTTTAAAATATATGTTTCTATCTCTCATTTTTAATCACTCAATTTTCAATAAAATAATATTACACTTAAATCAAAAATATTTTCTTATTTTTTAATCACACATTCTCCATTAAATATCTATTCGCTCAAAGAGGCTATTAATATTTGAAAAGTCAAGTTACAACAATAATGAGAGTCCAGCCTATGTTTTACTCATATTTATAAACTCTTTAAATATTCCAGCAACTTTTTATCCTTATATTTCGAAAACTCACAAGTTACTATATTTCATTTTAACGTCACACATATTATCAAGTCACAATTTTCATGTCACGTGAATACATCACATTAATATAAATATCACAATTTTGTGAACAATATAAATACTAAA